TACTGCAAAACAAAGCACGAAAGTTTTGTTTTATTGTTTCTCGTGAAAAATTCGATTATAAAATGATGGCGAATCTTTAGGAACGAGTACATTTTTCTCTTTCACATTAATTCGTTTTTTTTTAATCTCTAATAGTTTAGCAGAAAATGCATTCACGCAATTATACGTAATATTAGGTTTTTTTCGAGGCGATAAAATCTTCCAAAATATTTTTACTTAAAACAAGATGAGTATATTATATTTGGCGTTGAGAAGAAAGAAAACGAAGATGATGAGTTTTAAAAGTACAAACAACACAAATAGACCAAATTAGAGCAAATATAGAAATAAATTTTCTATTTAGGTTATGTTACCTATGCATCGAACACCGAATATAATTGTGTAATTGTATTTTAATTCTACCAACTAGATTTTGCACACAAGTGTGAATGGGGAACGCTTCTGACATATTTTATATTTTTTACTTGTATATATGTATGCGCTCGCGTATATTCTATATATATGTATATATACATTCATATTACACTGTGGCTTTCATGGGTATTTTCTTCAATTATACCAGAAGGTTTGCGGGTTATCGCCGTGTCTTTCTTCATTATTAATGCCATATATTCATATTATTATACAATTTAGTAATCACACACATACAATTATAGTTGTAAGAGAGATATATTCAAGATTACTTATATATTTCTTTTTAAAGAGTGCTAGAAAAGATGGCACAAAGATTTCCTGTACCAAATGCAGGAAGTAATGGACCACCACCTCAGCGTTATCCGCAGTCCTCGGTACCGCCAAATTTGCGTCAGTACTCTGGGCCAAATTTTCCAGTAAATATATGGTTTTTTTTTTTAATTTCAATGCATAGTCAGTATAATATTGATTGTAATATCAGATATTAAGTCAATTTTTTGTGATATTTAATCTTGTCACAATAACCAAGTCACTTGGAATCCAATAGATATTTAGTTTTTAAAGATTATTTGTACATCTTCCTTATATCACAAAGATACAAATCTAAATCAAAATAGTTACTGTTATTCTATGTACTATACATATGGAGTTACTTTTTGATTAAACAATAGAATATAGAGAAATGACTCAGCCATTATTTTCCAAATTTTCTAAAAGTATATTTTTCGATCAATTATATTATTCAACAATTATAATCTGGAAATTATATAATTTTGTTTCTATCTATGTTATGTAATTATATCTATGGATAATATGTATGAATTTCTATCGTAGATGCAACAGAGATCTGGATTCACGCCACCGCCACAAATGGGTAATGCTGGACCTGGTCCAGGTGGAATAATGAGACCAAATCAACCTTACTCGAATATGCGTCAGGGCCCAATGCCTACACCACCCGTGGGAAAAAGAAGCACAGATCAACGTATTCCTATGTCTCAGCAAAAACCGTAAGTATAATGAAGAAAAGTTTAAAACAAACGCTTTATATTTATTTTGTATGTGTTTTTTCAAAATTTCTTTATTAATATTTTTAGATATTGTATTTTAATAATTAGCTACTTTTTTATTTATCCTTGCTCTTGCATGTTTATCCTCTTTACTTTTTTACCTTATATGTATTGTATAATTTGTATATGTATTGTTTCTATTCATAACTTGATATTTCTAGTCCAAGTACTTTCTGTTCATACTTTTAAAATTTTGTTAGGAATTTAACCACTGCGGCTTAAGGCTTACAGAATTATTTATAATTTCTGTGTCTATGGTTTTCGAATAAACTCATTTAGGTATTTTTGGAACAGTGATTTTTCACATTCCACATCAAAGAAAAAGAAGAAATTAGCAGACAAAATATTGCCTCAAAAAGTGCGCGATTTGGTACCAGAATCACAAGCTTATATGGACTTGTTAGCATTCGAAAGAAAGTTGGATGCAACTATAATGCGAAAACGTCTCGATATTCAGGAAGCTTTAAAACGTCCAATGAAGCAGAAGCGAAAATTGCGTATTTTTATCTCAAACACATTTTATCCGGCTAAAGAGGCAGGTGAAGGAGAGGAAGGATCTGTGGCATCGTGGGAACTTAGAGTTGAAGGACGTCTTTTAGATGATACTAAAAATGATCCGAATAAGGTATAGTAAATTATGAAATATAATTACGATACTAATAAACAAATCAATATGTGTGTATGGCCTAATTGTAAGTATCATTCATTTCATCCTCTGTGAAGTTGACATCTCATTTTTCAAAAAATAAAATTTTTGACACAGTTTTGAATGCACCCTGAAGAATTCTAGAGTTCCTATCCAAAATAAAAAATAGTTCCGGCGAATTAACACAAAAAATCGAATATTAATAATTTGGAATACCAATTTCTCAAATCGCAGAACGAAAAATCGCGATATATCTTCTAAACATTAGTCCTAGCGCTTTAAGGAGGCTCTATCGGTATTCCGACGTCAAATGAGGACTACCGGAAAAGTGTGGAAAAAAAACTACTTTTAACACTCGTAAATCTTATTTCTAAAATTATAATTTTATTTAAGATGACTGTTAAATTGATTAATTTGAAGTGTACACAATGTATATTACTTATTAAGTAAAAAATACAAGGCTTGGTTGAAGAGAGTAGATGTCGCCATAATATCTATGTTATAGATTTTAAGATTATATTTTTGCGCACTGATAACAGCGTTGACTCTTAATAGCCTTTATGTATTTACTCAATTTTTTGTATTGTTTTAAAACATATAAGAGTCTATAATTCATTAAATTTTTTATATCATTTTTCGTTGTCAGATCGAAAAATTTCTGTCACTCAAAGAATAAAAATTTTTTTAGAACTATGGCTATTCTGTCGACAGTTCTGGGTCGCACTTCATGAATTCTAACGAAAAACAATGCTTGAAGCGCTAGGACTAACGGTTTAAGAGATATGGCTGTTTCTTTAATATTTAATTCTCACATATGGACAAAAAAATTTTTGAATATTACGACAGTTCTGTTGACAGTTCTGGATAGCACCCCAAGAATTCTATCAAAAGTTATTACCATTTAAAGTGCTAGGACTAATTGTTTAAAAGATATCGCGATTTATCGTTCTGCGTTTTGTGAAGTTGGCATCCCAAATTTCTAATGTTCGATTTTTTGTGTTAATTCACCGGAACTATTTTTTATTTTGAGCAGGAATTCTAGAACTCTTTGGGGTGCATTCGAAAATTATGTCAGAAATTTTATTTTTGGAAAAATGAGATACCAGTTTCACAGAGGTTCATTTCTCAAATGTGAATATATTTAAAATAATAGCTATATAAATTTTACAGGTAAAACGAAAGTTTTCGTCTTTTTTTAAAAGTTTGGTAATAGAATTGGACAAAGATCTCTATGGTCCTGATAATCATTTAGTCGAATGGCATCGTACATTGACTACTCAAGAAACTGACGGATTTCAAGTTAAAAGACCGGGCGATAAGAACGTTCGCTGTACAATTCTTCTTCTTCTTGATTATCAACCACTACAGGTAATCCTTTCACGTAAATTAATCGATAATCATTGTTATACAAGTATTTTATCACAATTGATTCAGTCTATTCACATAATCTTAAATTTAATTTCTGTCAATTATATTCCAGTTTAAATTGGATCCACGATTAGCGCGATTATTAGGCGTACATACACAAACGCGACCCGTCATCATATCTGCGCTTTGGCAATATATAAAAACGCACAAGCTTCAAGATAGTCACGAGAGAGAATTTATTAACTGTGATAAATACTTGGAACAGATATTTGCTTGTCCGCGAATGAAATTCGCTGAGATACCGCAACGACTAAATCCATTATTGCATCCACCGGATCCCATTGTAATAAATCACGTTATAAGCGTAGAAGGTGCAATTTTTATCTCGAATAAGTATTATTTTAGAGGCGATATACTATAATCCAAATATATATTGTAACTTATTTTATACATGTTTATTATAAATATCTGATATAAATTGATTTATATTATTCAGGAACGGAAACAAAACAAACCGCGTGTTATGACATTGATGTAGAAGTAGACGATACATTGAAGACGCAAATGAATAATTTTTTGCTATCGACTGCGAGCCAGCAGGAAATCCAGAGTCTGGATAATAAAATTCACGAAACTGTCGAGACAATTAATCAATTGAAGACCAATCGTGAGTTCTTTCTGAGTTTCGCTAAAGATCCACAACAGTTTATCAATAAGTGGATCATCTCTCAGACTAGAGATTTGAAAACCATGACTGACGTTGTCGGCAACCCAGAAGAAGAACGAAGAGCTGAATTTTACTATCAGCCTTGGGCACAAGAAGCCGTGTGTCGTTATTTTTATACGAAAGTGCAGCAAAAACGAGCAGAGTTGGAGCAAGCATTGGGTATCAGAAATTCGTAAAACCATTATTAAAAAGTCTATTTGATCATTTTATATCATAAAGCTATGTATAAGATATTCGTAAATGTTCGGTTTTATAATTATTGCAACATGTAACGCTATTGTGGTTTATCTTTGAAAACATATATTTATAACATTAATGTAGATGATGCGAAAAGATAGCATTTATTACGTAAAACAAATTTTACGCCTATATGAAAATAAAAATGTACCAAGACATTGCTGTACCAAGACATTTCTACATCTGTAATTATACTACTACTAGCACAATATCAATCAAAGTTTTATTTCAAAATTCAAAACAATTACAATAAACACGACATGATATCTATGTTTTAGATTTTAAAATTCAATATATTTTGCGCACTGTTAACAGCGTTGACTCTTCATAGTCTTTGTATTTAATTATTGTAATTGTTTTCAAACATATAAGAGTCTGTAATTCAATTAATTTATTAATTTTTTCAAAATTCAAATCAGACTATAAACTGTAGGAAAAATCAATAAAAAATGCATTAGTTTTTCTTTGAAATATTTTATGCAATGTACGTACGTTCTTTTTACGCGTAATCTTTTGTTACAATATTAATGTACTACATGATCACAAAAGTTAATTTTTGTATTTGTAGCGTATGTGAAATAATCATATTCCGTACTCAGTTTTTATGACAATTTATTTCTTATTTCAACACGATATCTCTTGTATAAATAAGGATAATTACATATCATTTACCGTGCCGTTGTACACATTTGTTATACCTCCCTAATAGACACGTGAAATCTTTCACTGAGAGACTAACGTACAGCGGCAGCATTCTGAAAAAAATTAAATTGTTGGTTTAAAAACGCAAGTTTTTTTTTTAATATCGATAGACACATTTACACAAAAACTTTTTATAAAACTTACAAAATTTCTGTCGTTCTTGTGTGCCATGGTAGTACACCATGCGTGGAACAAGCATAATCATGTATTAAAGCAAGATCAGGATCAGGCATCCCTTTTATTTGTAATTTTTCAGTAATTAGTTCGTCTGTAATTTCTTCCAGATCAAGATTCCCCGAAGATACAATCTTCGCCAATGACTGCGCCAATGTTGTTATTTTTCCTTTACTGTCTATATCCGACAGTAATGATACATTTATTTTTGACTTGCTTTCTGTAATTAAAGCATGCAGTCGCTCAGTTAGAAACAATTCTCAGAATTAGGAACGTTACCTAGCAAAGTATTTTACTTTAGCAAAGTATTTGTTTTTAATGCAGAAGGTTTGTAATTTTTTTGCAGTGAACCATTTGACAGATTTCTTAACTTGAATAGCCGTTGACTTTAATGATTAATATTTCAATTCACAGGGCAAGCAACGTTTCTTTTTTGTTATCACACAAATCTTTATTTTTACGCGAAAACACATCGATCGAGTGTATTTTTATCAAAATTTGAGGATCTTCTTAACATTAAGGTTATGATTTGAAAGATTATATTCAATTTAGGCGAAATTTAAATCTAATGCGAAATCTTGCATTAGCTCTACGAGCTTGGTCTTTGAATCCGGAGTGGATCGAGGAGCTCGATTAGCTCTAGAAATGTTAATACCGAACGCAGATGAGATGACACGTAGCAGAAAGATACGAGTTGCCGAACGCACCTGTTTAAATGTATTCTATGAGCTACAAACACCCCATTTCCTGTCACAATCTTTCACGCTAATCAGAAGCATCAATAATCACTATTGACGCTACTATTGAATGTTCATAATTTACCATGAAATGCTTTTAGGGTTATTGAAGTATGAAAATACATAAAATATAGTATACTCTACCAATTACTCCATTTTGACTAAGTGCCTTTATATGTGGATTCCAAGTAATATGTTCTATTAAATCAGGTCGCTTTCTCGCGAATTCTTCTTTAAGACTGAATTCATTTTTCTTCAAGAAACCTAAAAAAAAAAAAACAATATAAATTAGAGAAACTAAAATTTGCATAACTGTTGCATTGTAATAATATTCTTGTATCGCAATATGTATTACAATAATATTCTTAAATTAAAAGATGTGATTTCTCATACATTATAATACTTAGTATATTGTTATAAATTTTCGTTCTATTTGCATAATTGTTTATATATAGCCTCCAATTTATATTGTGTTTCTCATTTAGTTTTATAAAAATATAATTTATATTTTAATGGCCCTCGTTGACAACCTAAGCGGCCACAACGACACTATAATACTGCCATCTTGCCGCAAGATATATATAAAATGAGATAATAAGAATCCAAACGAACTATCTCTTTCAGCGGTAAAAGTGCATGAAAAGAGAGGCCAATACTATGACCTTGACACATGTTGTCAAGATCATGACCCTGAGTGACCTCCCTTTTTATGCACTTTTACCTTTACATTTATTTTCAAATTATTATTATGCGGACAATTTTTTATTCATGTATTACGGAAGAAATAAAGGCAGTATTTATTTCATTATCTTTTCATCATTTACGCAACACAATGGAAAAAGGTCAAATGCTGATATTGTTCATAGTTTTTTCTTATTATTTAAGATAAGATATCTTAAGTACAGTTAATGAATACTAGTCACAGACTAGTACTATTTCAACATTTTACAACTTTGACTATTTTAATTAAACACAACAGTAAAGGATATAAGGACTGTGTTATAGGAAAAATTTCAAATAGTTTTATAATTATAATTTACTGTAACATTGATAATGACCGGATTGAAACGTTTGCTGTAATATTTTTATTATTTTAAATTAAAGTTTCTTTGTTACACAACTGGTTCTTAACCCTTCATTTGTCTTTTGTTGTATTATCTATAAAGTTCGATTAATTAGCACCAGTATTTTATGATAGAGATTGTATGTATGATGGTAATGACATATACAAGACATTTTAACTTGATAAACAAATTTAAGTGTTAATAATCACAAAACATTTTAACTTGATATTTACAACGGTTACATTTTGTAGCTGCATATTACACACAATTACTTCAAGATATTGAATTGGCTAACAAAAAGTAGAAATTGGCTCAATCTTTCTTATATTCAAGATCATCTTTACTCTGGTCATAAGTGAAAAAATACAAGAGTAATCGACATAATCAATCATCAATAGTCATCATAAACATCCTAACAATAAAAAATGTAGTTTAGAGTAGTAAACAGTCAAGCAATGTGAAAGAAATACTCTTCAGAGTAGTAATTTTATTGTGATTAGGAATCTACTTGTTTCTAAAATTTTCCCTAATGAATTTTTAGAAAATATTGAGTAAATTATTATTATAATAAATTGTAGAACAATAAATAAAGTGCATAATAATATAATTAAGTTTCCAATTTAAAAAGTTCTTTAGAATATGTTAATTTTTATAAACGAAATCAAATTGGGCCCATATTCTATACACGACAGTTGTCAGTGCCGTTAATAGCCAATAAGAACTGCATTTTTCTCCTGGAACAGTCCTTGCCATTGGCTATCGTTAATTATCGACACAGGACAAATGTGTACAGAATAGCGCCCCAATTTACCATATTCAATTGTGTCATTTCCATAGTATAGTGGCACCGAAGAATTAAGTTACAATCTTAAATGTAAGAACAGACTAGAAAAATTAACTTAAAAATTGCCGAGATATAATAATGTTTTGCCACATCAGATTTTACACGACAAGGACACTCATTAAATTCGCATGACAAATGACGGTTTAAATCCTCAATGTAAACACATATACATAAAACGGTCGGTATTCTTTTTCTTTTAAAGGCTAATACTACAATGTGCTTTCTGTTATTTGTTTCTCTTGCCTTTTTGATCAAGAAGGCAAGAGACAAACAGCAAGGGAAACAAAAAGCACATTGTAGAATTAAGTCTCAGCCTTAATCTCTTTTCGCGATGATTTCACATAGGACAGATATAGCGATTTTCATAACAAATCATTTTTTTACCATGACAATCAAAGAAGCTGATGTAAGGTATAGCAAGTGTATTGCACCATCCAATGATACGCACACAGTCTAGAACAGACTCGTCGTACAGTCCGAGTACAATCACCAGATGCCTGGGTACCTTCTTCGTATAGGTAAGCGTGCGAACGAGCTGATCGAGCTCCGCTGTCGCACATTGGGATTCCGTGCACCTCCGATATACCGCATCGCACGCATAGCAAATCGCAGCGTACAATTCACGTAAAAGATGTGCGAACACTAACAGTGTATAAAGGAATACATCCATACTGCTGATGCGCGTCCGCGTGTCTACACAGCATAATCGGGTGTGAAGCACTGTAAACTCATAAACTAAGCACCAAGCGATAAGCCACGATGGACGACCACTTGTCGCTACACAGGTAGCGGTACACGTATAGTTACAATTAGTTATAGTTCTTCAAAGCATGCATTCGAAAATGTTCGAAAACTTGCAAGTGTCACGAGACATGAGTTGTCACGAGTAGAGTCCTATAAGCTGCGTTCGGAAATATCACCCGAGGACCTCTGAGTATCGTGTTATCCTCCTTTAACATTGGATGAACAACAAGGACAAGATGATACTCGGGGAAACCTGGGTGATATTTCCGAGTGCTCTCGCCTTATCCTTGTTTAACACGGTTGGGTTGGACAACAAGGATAAAACGGGAGTGATGTTTTTGAACGCAGCCATAGAGAAGCGACATTGAACCCCCACCACCAGATTGGATCCCTACCATCATCACTCCCTACTCCGCCAACCGCTCCAGTGTTGTAAACGTAAATATACTCCAACCAGTCCAACCTCCAATTCTGATGTGGCGGTATACCTGAATAATTAAATTTCATTTAAACTGTATGTATGTACATACGTCATTAATCAATTTAAACAAATCGACGTAAGAAGAACATAAGCACACTATTACATCTTGTGTGCCCTTCAACAAGCGACACAGCGATGATCTCATCCTTGTTTAATCAATGGAACAAGTATAAGGCCGCAACCAGACTACGCATTGAAAATTGAGATTGAAATTTGAAATTTGACCAATGAGGATAAAGAAATTTTAACTTCTATTATTTTGATTAGCCAAAATTTAATCTTTCAATCTTTAATCTCAATCTTCAATGCGTAGTCTGATTCCGGCCTAATACAAAAGGAATATCTCTCGGTGAACATTGAATTTGAAATAAAGTTTATTGAGACAATAGGTTTTTAACGGCTCAGTATCGCAAAACTACTAAGAAAAGTATTAAAAATGGCGTCGTTTGCAAAGGAACTATGAAATCCTCCAATCGTCTATTAGTCAGCCATTTTTAATACCAGTGAATGAATGCCTTGGTCGTCTCTAAGTTGACCCTGAGGGTGCAGTCCCATGGAGCGTATCGCGCGTATCGCGGATTAGCGGATCGCCAATCACAGAATCGTTCTGTTAGATCTATTTACAAATTTAGCAAGCAAATCTAACTAACAGAACGATTCTGTGATTGGCGATCCGCTAATCCGCTAATCCGCTCCATGGGACTGCACCGACTTATGCTGCTAGACATCTGAAAATAAGCGGGGAGCACAGACTTTTGCATAACGCATAAAGCATGTGCATAAGGAATTTCATTGGCCCATTTTCTTATGCATGAGTCAATGAACCAATCGAATTCTTTATGTATATGGTTTATGCAAAAGTCTGTGCTCCCCGCTTAAGTTTAGCCAAAGCGGACCAAAGATGACGGATAGAAGGAGATAACAGATATTGCTTTCTTTCTCGTATTATACATGCGCAGAAAGCGTGACATTGGGCCGATTGTTCCATCTTTCGGTAAATTTTATCTGTTAGGTAAATAGCAAGATTATCCAATCACATGCATGGATCGCCACATTTACCTAACAGGTAAAATTTACCGGAAAAGATGGACCAATTGGCCCACTGTGTCAGAAAATAAGTAACAGCAGGGGATTGATTTTGTATCTTGAAACAAGGTGAAAATTGCAAATGTGAGCGACTTTACTAGAACATTTATAATTTCATTGGTCAATATCTAGTAAATTTGCTCACTTTTGTAATTTTCACTTTGTTTCGAGATACAGAATCGACCCCCAGAGGTCATATAGTGATATGGTTATAAACAAACACTTTGGCCCGTATTCAGAACGCACTTTTATCGATAAAATTCTATAAAAGCGCGCTTTTATCTCTGAAATTCTATAGTATACGTGACTTAAACTATAGCATGTTAGCGCGTTCTGAATACGGGCCTTTATGTTCACGATGTTGAAAATCGCTCTCAGAGAAGAAACTGGCCAATCGAGTTGGCTGAATTATTCAATTGTAATTTATTAATTTTCTTTATCCGGGATCTCGGAACAGTTTCTAATCTTTTTGGGACAAGGCTAATTAGAACTGTCTGTCTCTTTCTATTCTTCGAACTCGTTTTCCGACTATGCATGTACATACATAGGGCGCATTCAGCAGAAAAGAGCGCTACTAGAGCGCTCGCTGTTATTGGTATATTCTTCCAGAGTTAAAATTCTGATTGGATGATCTAGAAGAATATACCAATAACAGCGAGCGCTCTAGTAGCGCTCTTTTCTGCTGAATGCGCCTATACATACGAAGCTATCCGAAGAATATCGAATGGACCGAGATAGAGAACCAATCAGAAGTTGTGCCCGCTTTGTCATAGGGGCAGTTTGGGAGAATTGGAAGCCCTGATCGTTCTCCACCTTTGCAAGTCTCGCGGCGTCGCGTCGGTTACGACGAACAATTGCATACATTCGAGACAAAAACTTACGCATATATGCTTGTTATATTACAACAATACAATATAAACTCAACGTTATTAAGGATCTGGCAGTTGCTTTCATGTATAACCGACTATATGTGTACGTGTGTGTGTGTGTGACGTGCGAGGGAAAACGACATGGCGTTTCTGAAGGGGTAAGTTCCTTGCACATATGTACATTTATTTCCGCGGTCGTATTTGTGCGCTCGCAAACACGACTCGTCAATAAGTAAGTTCATGTTGTATTATTATTAGTGCAACGGTGCAAATTCGAGATCGATCAATATTAAATTCAATCAAATATTCAGATAATTTCGCCGATCGCTATAATCTGATAGTTATTATGCATATAATTCTTTTGCGTATCGATTTCCTGCTGATGGCTCACATTTCTGTGAGTGATATTCTCTATGAAAGAAAGTAATGATCTGACCATATATGGATCTGACTCGCCGCAACTTTCAAATCCAGTTACATATCTTATAAAAAATACCGACATGGCAAAAAAAGTTTTCTCTCCTTGGCCCTCGCCGGCAATCACCGGCAATCATCGAAAATGATGCCGCTGTACGAAAATGCGAATTATTACTCTCGACGTCCTCTTTCGCGTTAACCGGGCAAATCGGAATCGTGTTATCAAATACGTGTTATCAATTATTCTATGAAATCGAATTTACAGGGTGCCATCAGTTTAGGGCTGCGTTCCGTTTCATGCATATGCGCGCATTAGTATACGTGACGCTTTTACTATATAAAATGTGTCTGAAATGGAACGCAGCCTAGAAAGAATATCAGCACACTGGACGCGGAAACGCTTGCCGCACGGCAAAATGTGACGCCAATGAACATGTTAGGAGCTGTAAGCTCATTGGCTACCGCGTCACATTTTGCCACGCAGCAAGCGTTTCAGCGTCCAGTGTGCTGGAGCCATTAGTATCATAAAAATGAAAAGTTTAAGCCATGTTAAAAAAAAAAGGGTACTCAAAAATTTAAACCTTTTTATCTAATAATAATATATTACCATGATGAGTAACTAATACATTATTAATAAGTATTATATATGCAACTTTCGACCGATTTTCGAATCGCCTCCGCCTTCCGCTGTCCCCCTCATCTCACCTCACCGCGCGCGATGCCGCACGATGCTCGAGCGATATTTGATTTGCGCGCGGTGCAACTATTGCTTTTAAGAACCGAGTAAAATAAAAGAAGAGGTTAAATAATAATGATGTTTGACTGACATTGTTCCAAAACCACAACAATATAATAAGTAAGAAAATATTAATATTCACATCGCAGTGTATATTATTAACATCTATCAAAAAATAGTTCCAAACACAACATAAATATCCAGGTTTTACCTTAAAATGTAAAGAGTCAAAATTCAAGCCTCTCTCTCGCTGGTGTCATTATCTGCGATGAAAACATATAACGATCAGGTGATCCGAAATGTTCTTCATGTTAACGATCGATATTACAGAAAAGCTTGGAAAACTACAATTATTCAAAATGTCACTATTAACCTCCGTCACAATGTTCGCTCCTTTCCCTTACTGTATTTTGATATGTTGATAACGTATATGATTATGAAAATTTGTGATAAGATAATTTTTAATGTCAAATGTGAAAAAAATGCAAAAAATCGGTTTTTCTAAATTTGACTTTGAAAATGATCTTGTCGGTAATTTTTATAATTAGATTTGTTATCAATCAGCTCACCGAAATACAGGTAGTGCATCAATCGATAGCAAAATCGGAGTCTTCAGGTTTTGAGAAGTTTATCCCAAATAAATAAACAGATCTCAATTTAATGTGTATTAAAACATTTTTTTTTACCCGTCTAGCACACGTTAGTCGTCGGGTGCTATGTTCACAGAGGTCAGAAATATGCATAAATATTTCACTGTAATATAATAATTTAGCATATTGGAGCCCCGATTAGCGTGTCTCAAAGTATAGCGAATAAAGATGAAAAATTATCCTCTGTGCTATTCTCGCACATTGCAAATGACAAACATATAGTAACTGAATGTGATTAGTGCACCAAATGTCATAAATATAATTCTCCAGTTATGAACTCTGTTGAATTTATTATAACTTAAAATGATTTTCTCTCGATTTGTGATGAAATTCTGACACGTGCCGTTGTGATTTCTAACGTTAAGCTTCTTACTTGTCCAAGTATCTTAACTACATTAAATTTAGCCCAAGCATATTTACGCTCGAAACTTAACTAAATGCAGACTCTCTTCACTCGATTTCAGGAGTAGAGAATGAGTCAGAATCAAGAAAAAAGCATGGACAAAAAAGAAATTGTCGAAGAGGAGAGAGAGAAGATGCTGAATGCCGAAAATACTAAGCATACCGACGTCGCGGTAGCGCCCGATTTCGAATTTGAGGAGCAAAAACCGAAAAAAATACCGATTGGTGGCATCAAGATGCCCGGATTCTGTCGCACGAAGAGCAAGGAACTGTGCAAGGTACATTATGATGTAAGATCATATAGTTGTCATTTTAGTATTCCGGAAATTGTTGGCTCTTTTGCCTAACAAATAAACTTCACGGAAATTTAGATGCCGATTTTTTAGATGCAAATTTTTGTCTGTAACGTTGACCTACATATTTT